TTTTCAAATGAGGAGACAGAGACCCAGAATAATTGATTGACTTTTGTGAAATCACAGAGAAAACTAGTTCAATTCCAAGCAACACAAGAGCCCAAGTCTTCAGTCTCTTAATCAAGTGTTCTTTCCAAAGTACTACAATCTACCAACACCTGGGCATTTCTGAATAGAAAACAAATCACTTTATCAGCCCTGATGACAAAGAATGACTCTCTCCACACATGGAAAAGGGAGAGGATCCAATGTTGAGTTCATCATTAAAAATGATTGTCACAGAGACATAGACCATGTCTACACATATTTGATTTGGCAATATTGACCACCAAATTGGCTCATGATTGTCATATATGAGACCAACATTACTATAAAACTTGACTCTTAAGTTCTTGCTTTGTATTCTATTTAGTATAACTCCTATTATGTTAAAGGAAAATCTTCATTGTTCTTAGTTGCAAAAATAGATTTTATTTCTACTTCTCTAATAATCCGTGATATTAAATTTTACTTTGTCCTAAACTGTAAGTCCCAAGTAAACTACATTAGAAAAAAATGTTCTTTTATTGTGGTTTTATGAAGAGTAATGAAAATCTTCAATTTCAATAGAGGTTAAAAGTATCATTAAATCATCTATATAAAAATGAAAAAGATCTCAGAGGTAATCTAGCCTACTATCTTTTCTTTATTGATGAGCCAACTGAAGTCCATAGTATCTTAGGAGTAAAAGCTCTCACAAGGATTTCTGACACAGGTAGCAGGAATAGTGCTAGTAATTAAAATAACAACAGTAAAATAACTTATAAGAAACTTTAAGGTTTTCAAAGCAATTTACACTCCATCTATGATCATAGCAGCTCCATGATGTGAATGTCATGAATTTTATTGTTTTTAGATATATGAGTTAGGCTCAGAAGTGTGGTGACTTTTCTATGGTCACATGTCTATTGTCTATGACAATAAAGAAGAGCTAAGCATAAATTTTTTTTCCATGAAATGAGATATAAATCCTGTCTGTGGCTATGTCTATCCCCTCCCTTTCTTTCATATATATATGTGTATATATATATATATATATATTTGATATACATACACATATATATTATATATACATATATGTATTGTGTTTGTGGGTATGTGTATGTATATTTATACATATATGTATAAGTATGTGTATGTGTACGTGTATATGTGTACATATATGTCATATATGTATAAGTATATATGACATAGATTTAACGAGGGGTCAACTAGTCCTTCCATCAGTACTTCAAGTGAGAGGAAATCCAGTACATGTTAGGGCAGCCAGTTCCACTTCTGAATAACAATGTTTCGGTAATGTTTTATTTACATTGAACCTAAATTTGTTTCTACTTAACTTCTGCACTTTGCTCCTGGATATTCCCTTTGGATACAAATGAATAAGTCAACTGTTTCCTCTTCATGACAGTCCTGCAGATACCTGAAGATAACTAATCCAAACCCCTGCCCTGACACCCCTGTTTATCTTTTCTACACCAAACACCCTCCATTCCTTCCACCAATCCCAATATGACAAAATTTCAAAGTCCTTCTCCATGCTGGCTGAACTCCTCTAGAGAATCTCTAGCCTAACAGTGTCCTTTCTAAAGTTAGGAACCCATGTCTGAATATGTTGCTCCACATGCAGAATACAACAGACCACCTCTGTACACCTGGTTACTGCGTCCCTCCACTCATTTTAAAGTCAGATTAGTTTTCTGGCTTGTCATGTATGTCTCGAAGTTGTTGTGGGGATGAAATGATTCAATATATTTAAAGTACTTGGCCAAAATTAAAGAGGCAGCTCTGGTACAATGGATAGAGCATTAAGACTGGAGTCAGGAAGTCCTGAGTTCCAATCTAACCTCAGATCCTTAGGATATGACCCTGATCACTTAAGCAGTGTTTGCCTAAGTTCCCTCAACTTTAAAATAAAAATACCTACATTGCAAAGTTGTAGTCAGAATCAAATGAGATAATATTAATAAAGTACACACTTAGCACAGTCATTGCACTTAATAAACACTACATAAATGCTTCTTTCTCTCCCTTCACTAATATAAGTGCTACTTCCTACTTATAGTATGAACACCCTATAAAAAATAGCCATTCACTTCTTTTAAATTCAAAGAACGTTCTCCTGATCACAGAAAAGGGAAGCAAAATATAAATTGAGCATCTCTGCCTTTCTTTGTCACTCACTGTACTTGTCCTGTTTCTTTTGAAGTAGTGAATTGGTCCAATTCTTTATTTTATAATTGTTTGGTCCCCAAATAGCCAATTTTTCAAAAATCCACAGCTCCTGGTAGTCTTTAGCCGTCTGGGCTTCCCTCAGCTCACCCTGAATCCTGGCACTCCTCTGACTCTATTACTGTAAGATAGAATCTGCTTTTGCATTCAGCCTTTGTTACCTCTCCTTTTTCCTTTACTGAATTTTTTTTCATATCAAAGTCTACATAATTGACAATTTTTCTTCTTTTAACTTTAAAATTACATTCTTAAGATCTTTTTTATATTTTAAGTTTTGGATTCCCTGAATTAGCCCATAGGATGCTAATTCATCTTTCCTCTGGAATGCCTGGAAATGACCCTCCACAAACCTAAAGCGTATGCCTGACAAATGCTAGTTTTCCTTTAAGATGATTCAGTTACTTTCCTCCAACTCCTGTAATATTCCCATTTACGTTGATCTTTCCTAACAACTCCTCATGCTTTATGGGAATCAAATGCAGGATAGGATTTTATCACATTGGTTCCTTCACTTTTGAACTTTTGATGGAAAAAATATCATTTTCTTTCAAGAATTCAATAACTGTTCTTTGACAAAAGAGACACAGAGTTGCTAGGTATTTAGATAGATAGATAGATAGATAGATAGATAGATAGATAGATAGATAG